GCCTGTTACGCGAGACGTGGTCTGGCGTACATCTACCTAGTTATTTAGGGTGCGGGTTAGCACCCCCGAAATGAGGTACGAGTTAAGCCCCCCAAGATACCGTTAATTGGCTGAGCGATAGCGAAGCCTATTACTCCAGTGATGATCAAAAAGTTTCGTGTCTGTGTGTCTGTTTGTCTGTAAACACGGTAACTCGAGAACGGTTTAAGCTGGGTACCTGAAAATTTTAGTGTAGCTTTGTATCATAAAAAGCAAGAACTGTATTGATTTTGAGCCCTATAGCTCAAAAATTGGCCTGTCAAAAAAATCAAAGACCAAAAACCCAATAAATTACTTTTGAAAAATATTTTTTTCACAATCGTTTAAGAGGTAACTCGTCAAAGTAGAAGTCGTAGGGCCCAAATTTCGTCCGTTTGGCTCAATCTCTAACCATTTAGTCGCCAGAGGGCGATTTCCACACGCAAACGACCCGAAACCATTTTAATGTTGTTTCTCAGATATTTGATGGTTCTTGGTGGAGCAACTCGTCAAAATAAAATCGTGGGGGTAAAATTTGTGTCCTTTGGAGGCGAAGGCCCATCTACGACTCTGCCTTTTGCCCGATTCGGGTGTCAGCGCCGCAGGCCTAGGTAGATTTATACCAGGCGCGTCGCAGCGGAACAGTGTTTCGTGAGATATGGCGAAGCCTGTTACGCGAGACGTGGTCTGGCGTACATCTACCTAGTAACAGGTTAGGTTATGTTAGCGACTCCAAAGGCACCCCTAAAAATTAGGTACGAGTTAAGTCCCTTCAAGACACCGTTAAAAATAGGTCAGGTTATGTTAGGGACTCAAAAGATACCCCTTAAAATTAGGTACGCGGTTAGGCCCCTCCAAGACACCGTTCAAAACAGGTAAGGTTATGGTAGGGACTCAAAAGATACCACCAAAATTAGGTACGGGGTTAGGCACCCCCAAGATACCCCCAAAATTAGGTTAGGTTAGAGGCCCCCAAGATGGCCGACCGGGACAGGAAGGCACTCATACTACTCAGGCGGCGTACATGATGGTCTTGAGGAAGGTGGCCGAGGCCATCCCCGGCTTTTCCCCAAAATATGTCATGTGCGATTACGAAAGGGCCCTATTTCAGGCTGTAGCCGATGTTTTCGTCGAGGCGGTCATCACGGGCGGCCTTTTTCACATAGATCAAATGAGTCCAAAAGCTGTGCAGGGTGGCCCACGTTTCCCGTAGTTACATAGGGTGGTCCACAGACCCCTTCCTTTATATTGCTTATACTGTACCCCGTGCAGGCGTGCGGTGCGTGCTTGCCTTGCGACCTTTACCACGGCGCTTGGTGGGCCCGTGCGAGTATGCAACCCACCCACCCGCACGCCTGCATGCGGCAAAGTATTAGCAAACTTAAAAACGGGGTCTGTGGACCACCCTCTGTACTGAACCGCATGCAGGCGGGCCGACACCTTGCTTACTCGCGAGGCAAGGGGCCTTAAGGCGCCGCCGTAAGCGACGGTACATGCGCCGGCACGGCTGCATGCGGCATACTGAGTAACTAGGAACTTTGTCCGTTGTATGTGAGCCTTATGTCGCGAAGCGTTACAGTGAGTTCCTTTGGCATCGGCCGATCGAGCGGGTGCCGTCGAACTGGGGACAAGGGGATGACGCTCCCATGCCGGTGCTGCAGGTCTCCCTGCTCTGATAGCTGCGAAAGCACCGTCGAGTTGTTTAGGTTTTCGGAAATATAAAATAAATCTCCAAAGGAAAGTGTTCTCCCTCCTTTTACGGTAGTTCACCTTTAAAAACACACTCCACAGTAGTCTGAAGTGTAAACGGTATTTATTGCACTGCGTACGTAATACAAAAATTTTCACTTTTCCAAGCAATGTTCAGGTGGACGGCTACAACGGGAGGTCTTTCCGGTTATCTCCGTGATACCCCGACGGCATGGCAGTGCCACTTCTGCCGCCAGAGCGCATCCAGGGGGCCTTTGATGATGGCACCTTTGGGCCGGGGCCGGAAGTGCCGGAGGATGATGACTTGCGGATTGATGAGATGCACACTCCACCATACGATGAGCTGCACACTCCACCCCCCAGCCCACCACCGGCCTCCATCTCCTACACCGACAGGAACCCTCTGTCGGACCATCGGGGGTCGGAAAAAACTTTGTCTGGCTGTGTGTCTGTCCCCACGATAAGGGACCGTTCATATACTACGTAGTTCATTTTTGGCCATTTTTTGACCCCCC